GGAAACTCCGCTATTGCCAGTCTCAAGTCAGGATGGAAACTGAAGATGGCGGGAACCGTGGTGAGGCTTCATGTAAAACTTATCCATTGATCCCTGAGTTTATTGCCATTTTCGGAAGTTACATCGGATCGATCGTTGTCCCGATTACTAAGGCCGCACAGGATGTTGAGGACTGGAGTAAGAACGTGGAAAGTCGGCGATTAGTAAACTTCTTCTTGCTTTCTGGCAGATGTGGGCGTGACAGCACGGCGATGGCTCCTGAAGATCGACAAGAAAACAACAAATATACCAATCAGCAATGGGAACCGTTGCGAGTTTTGAAGAGACGACGCGGACAGGGCAATTCCATCATAAAATGTGAGACATGGTTCGTCGAAACAATGCCAACAGTGGGAACTCACAATCAGAAATTGGAGATCGCTTCATTCGAAGAGAAGGAGGTAAAGCTAGTTCGTGATGGTGCAAAGTATTGATTAGTCTTTCCCCAACGAAGCTCTAAAATTCGGAATTCTGAATGTTTACGAATGAAAGTCATTCTCTTCAGAAGTTCAATCTAAGAATCGGGACAAGACCCGACGACTTCTTGCCAAAAATGAATATACAGTACGGCAATGGTGAGAGTAATTTGAAAAACTCATTAGTCAGCAATCCCCAAAAAAAACTTGCCTGAAGAGCAGCAAATAGCTGATGTTAGTCTTTTAGTCGGTAAAGCCACAGAAGCTGAAAGCTTGCGGAGTAACAAGACTTTGGAATATATAAATTCGCTTTGAAAGAGTGCTAGAAAGTATTCACCGCGAAATCACTGACTCCAGGTTACAAGAACAGCAGTTCAAGAAAAGGCACTTCCGATTAAATCTTCGCAAGCGGGCAGCTTGATAATGGGGTGCGATCATTCTGGGCCTTCGAAGATTCATGATCATGCCAGATAATGCGTACTCTTTACGGCTTAAATTTGTTTTACATAATCTGTGAGCCCGTTAAATTCGCGCAAAATGTAACAACAAACCACAAATAGAAAGTATAATAGAGCAAAATAAACGACACTTAATATGATGACTTTCCTTCGGCACAGCGAAGGGTCAGTATGCAGTGTAGTTTTGCATAGAATTTCATCTAAGCAGAGAAAAAAGAAGTCTGCAGAATAATTTACACCCATAATAATCATGATATAATTGTCATCCTAACCGTTCTTCTTATGTATTCACTTACGAATCAGTTTTTGCGCATTCCTATTTGTTTCATATCATTTTTCTTTTAGACTTGAACTTGCTGATCCTCTGTACATGACAGGTACGGTACTTGAAAAAGTTTCTTACAGTTTGACCGCAGAGTGCCCGTAAATGTGCGTTTTGATGCTTGCCTACATGATTACCATAATGTGGAGTTTTGCTTTCCTGTATATTGTATATCCAGTCATAGGGATATAACGGATTTTCTTTCTTGCCGTGATATGGAATGCCGATCGAAATGGACAACACTACGAGCCAATATGCGTTAACATAAATGCCGGAACGGAACTGCACGTACAATTGTCGGTTCCGTTGTTTAGTTGATGTTCCGCTATTTATTAGATTGTTTTAAAGTTAAAGGCGAACTGTTTCACCAACTGTGTACTGTCTGTTTATAGTAGGGTTAGAAGCAGTCAGCGG